TTCATCAAATATTTTGAATGCTACTTCAATAACAAAAGTGAATTATAGCCTAATAGCTATGTAAGCTTTATGAATCAGTGTACAAGAATTAAAACCACACAACAATTGAATTATCCTTGGACTTTGGAACTTGAGTCTCATTTGATTTTGATGTAGAGTCAGAATTGAGAATCACTCAATATGTAAGACTAGAATAGAATTCTAGGGACTTCATATCCTACTTTTCCCCATAGGTATGTGTGATTCTTTGGAAAATTTGGTCAACCTCTCTGGATCTCAGTTTCCTCAGACATAAAATGAAGATATGAAATAGTAATAGCCTTTACTGAGTTCCTATGGGTCATGAGATTTAATTATCTTACTGATCACATAGCTACTGTAGGGCTATGTGAACAGTAATGTCCTCATTCCATATGTTAAGAAATTATAGGCTCAGTGCCCATAGCACAGTAGTTACTGTGCTGGCCACATGCACCCAGCCTGTCAGGTTCAAACCTGGCCTGGGCCAGCTAAACAATAATGACAACTGCAACAAAAAAATAGCCAGCAATTTGGCAGATGCCTGTAGTCCCAGCTACTCAGGAAGCTAAGATAAGATAATTGCTTAAGCCCAAGAGTGTGAGGTTGCTGTAAGCTATGATGCCACTCCATGGCACTATACTGAGGGTGACATAGTAAGACTCTGGAAAAAAAAAAAAAAAGAAATTACAAATTAGAAAAGTTAAAGGATCCTGTCGAATTTTACATGGACAGTATCAGACTTGTCTGAAGATGTTAAAAATTTTGGCCAGATAGAAAGTGCTAATAGCTAGGTCATTTTAGGAAGATCTATTAATATTGAGGCCAAAATAAAGAATCTGACTTCAATTTTTTTTTTTTTTTTTGAGACAGAGTCTCCCTTTGTTGCCTTTGGTAGGGTGCTGTGGTGTCACAGCTCACAGCAACCTCTAACTCTTGGGCTTAATTAATTCTCTTGCCTCAGCTTCCCAAGTAGCTGGGACTACAGGCACCTGCACAATGCTGGGCTATTTTTTATTGCAGTTGTTTAGCTGTTGTATAGCTAGTCTGGGCCAGGTTTGAACACACCACCTTCAGTGTATACAACTGGTGCTGTAACCACTGTGCTACGGGCACTGAGCCAGCTTCAAATATTTTTCAGGAAACTTTTAATTGATGCATAACATAATTTGTATACAAAATGCAGCTTGAATTTTCACATTTGAACTACCCATGTAAACAACAGCCAGATAAAGAAATAAAAAATTACTAGTAGTCAAGAAATCACTCTTTTTGAGATCTTTCAGTCATTACTTCTCTCTCCCCAATGGTGACCACTAACCTGACTTTTTTTAAAAATCAATTATCTTTGCCTGTTTTTGAACTTTGTCTGAATGGAACGGTGCTATCTTTTTATTTACACCATGCCTATGACGTTCTTTCACAGAATTGTGTGTAATTATAGTTCTGTCCTTTTTATTGCTGTATGATGGTCCACCATATGGCAATAATTAACCTTAATTAACTTGTCCATTTTGTTGTTGATGGAGATTTGCTGTTTTTTCCACTTTTGTTTTCTATTGTGAATGATTTTGCTATGGTTATCATTGTATGTGGCATTTAGAAAATTATGTGGTAGTTACATCCCTGAGAGTGAAACTGTTGAATCACTGGGCAGGTTTATGTCCAGATTTAGTAGATCTAGTGAAGATGTTTCCACAGCAATTGGGTAGAGCTAAATGTGCTCCCACAATGTTTATGGCAGTGCATGGCATATAAGTTAGTATCTTTCCTTATAGGTGGAATTTGTGGATTTTTAAATTCTTCCTTATGGGTGGTCATTGGTACTTCACTGGAGTTTTAATTTTGATTTTCCTTATGATTAGTAAAGTGGAATAACTTTTGGTATATTCATGCTTTTTTGTGTTTTTTGTCTATAGTCTATTGAGTTCTCTTATCTTCTTCATTCTTTTATGTCTTTCTTTTCCACATGGATAGCTAATAGATCTAGAACCAGTTATTGACATAAACATTCTTTGACCGTTGTACCGTGATGTCATTTTTGATATATGTCAAGAGCCTATTTATAATTAGGTTTGTTTGTAGACTTTCTGTTGTGTCCCATTTGTTCATTTTTTCTTCTTGCACCAAAAACTCCACTGTCTCTATGATGTGTTTTGATGCCTGGGTGTATTGGCCTTTATTTATTATTATTATTATTTTTCTATTAGAACTTGCCTTGGCAATGCTAGATCCTTTACATTTACATATATATTTTAGGATAATTTCTACAGAAAAATCTTCTAGCATATTGATTGATATTGAACAGGATCTATAGGTAATTTTTATAAGAACTTACTAATTTAAAATATAAATTCATGTTGCTTATGAAGCTTAAAATTCATAAACACAATAAATCCCTGTATTTATATATTCTCTTTAATATCTCTAACTGATGATTAATATAGTTTTTTATTATCAATACTTTTCACATATTTTATTTGATTCCCAGTTGTATGATTTCTGATATTTTAAATGATATCATGCTAGAACATTATTTTCTAACTAGTTGTTTTCGGTTTACAGAAACACAACCAATATTTAACACTGTTTTTGTATCCAGTTATCTTGCTTCATTATACTAACTACTAGTAATCATCTATTGATTCATATCAATTATTTTATCTAATGCTATGCCTCTTTGTTCTTTCTGATTATGTAAATGTTCAGCCACGTCACCTGTGAATAACCTCGGTTTTCTTTTCCTTTACACTGCTGAAGTCTTTTATTTTTTGTTTTACTGCTCTTCTTATGATATCTGATATAAAGTTAAGTAGAAGTGGTGATGACAGGCATCCTGTGACCACACTCGGAGGAAATAGCTTCTCAGTATGATTTTTGAACAGTAAGCTTCTTTCATAGTAAACTCCCAGAGCCATCAGAAGCTGGAAGAGGCCAGAGAGGATTCTCCACTAAAGCCTGTAGACAGATTGTGGCCTCAATGATGCCTTGGTTCCAGACTCTAACCTCTAGAATTGACTAAATAAATATAATTTGATTTAAATCACAAAGTTTATGGTAAATTTAAAGAAAGTGCTAGGAAACTAATACAGGCACATAGCATATTTTTTTTCGTTTTTAATTTGTATGTTTGTACAAATAATAATGGTACATATTTATGAGATATAATGTGATATTTCAATGTATTTATCAATAGTTTAATTATCAAATAAGGTTGTGGCTACTTAATGTTCTAAATAATAGCTATTTACTGTTCTAGCCAGAATTTATGTTATTGAAAAATAAAATAAAGTAAAAAAAGTTCATCCTTTCTTTCAAGTACTCCTTGTCTCTCATCTCATCATGATATAAGCTAGAAGTTCAAGATCTTATCCCCAAAATCATACCTACTTGAGGATGAGAGTCTATAGCTAAGGTTTTTGGACACAAATAATAGATTACTATTTGTTTTGATCTGTATAACTATTGCCACTGCCTCATTAGCTAAAAGGTGACTAAGGAGATAAATTAGCAATATCTTGTGACATTTTCTAAATTCTTTCTGATAATAGGCTTCTACCTGAGTTTTAAAATTCCACCCATTATATGTGATATCAGCCGGATTCCATTCTTTTATTGTCATTTTAATAATTATCACCATAAATCCCCACTGGGTATGCATAAAACCTTAAGTACACACAACTCCCTTACCAAATATTTTTTTTCTTGGAAATTATGCGAGTAGAATGTGGCTTTAAACAATCACCTTCATAGGGAAGCAAATAAGAGAAGCAATGGCTAATCATAATCAGCGTCAGGTAGGGTTCTCTGAATTTCACTAAAAATTGCAAGATTGTTCCCTGCTCTCTTGAGCTTTTTTTTTTTCACAAAGTCTTAATATTCTTTACTTTCTAAAAGATCTGCCTGGAACATCTCTGGTTCAGGGGATCTACGCCATTGGGGAAACGCTAGGGCTTTATCTGAGAAAACCTTACTCACATAATAATCTCTGGCCTAGTTGGCCAAAAATACTTTAAATTCTTTTTCTCAAAGTCTTTCCCATCCCCCATGGATTCGAGGAAATAAATAAGGCTCCTAGGGATTCAATATAAAGCTCTTGTCTGAGGATTACCTGTATCTTCTCTTCCCACCTGTGTGTGTTGGGAAGTCCAGTACTCTAGAGCAAGTGAGGAGCTGCTGCAGATCCGGGATGCAGGGAATGTGAGAGCCAAAACTCAAAAAAGAAGAAAGCAGATGGGAAGACTTCCTGCTTTCCAGGTCTGTTCTAGTAGGACAAACAGTTGTTTGGGCAAATAGAAATAACTGATAACTCAGAATTTGGGGGTGTGTATGTGGTGCTTATTGTCTCATTGCAGCCTGAAAATTCTGGGCTCAAGCAATTCTCCTGCCTCAGCCTCCCAACTGGCTAGGATTACAGGCACACACTACCATGCCAGGTTAATTTTATTTTATTTGTTAGCAGAGAAAGTGTCTCCTTATTTTGCCCAGGTTGGTGTTAACCACCTGTCTTCAGGAATCCCCTACCTTGGCTTCCCAAAGCACTGGGATTACTGATGCAAGCTACTGTGCCAGGCCCAACTCAGAATTTAATGCCAACCCTCTTTTGTAAATCTTGGGAACCTTGCCTGGTTCTTGTCTCTGACTCTCAGTGAGCTTGCCATGAGATGGGCTCTTTAGATAGGGTACCGAGATGTCAACATGTTTTTTCTTTGGTTTACTCATCAACTTAATGTAGTAAGATCTGCTGATCCCTTTCCACTAATATTTGTGATTTAGGATGAAGCAGTATTATGAGTGTGATAAGTGTGTTAGAAGCCAAATGACTGAAACCATGACTATTGGATTTTTCCCCCTTAGGCTGTTTCCACAAATGGGGAGGAGAACACATTGAGCAATCTCTCTGGCACAGCCAGATTTGGAAAGAGGTTGTCCTGAGCAGTATGGGTGCTCAATGAAGGTAGCTTCTGCCTCAGCAGCTCGCCATGTACCATTTCAGCAACATCACATCTGAGTTCCCAATCTTCCTCCTCACAGGTTTCCCTGGGCTGGAGGCCTTCCACATCTGGATCTCTATTCCCTTCTTCCTTCTAAGTACAGTTGCGCTCTTAGGGAACAGCATGATCTTGATAGTGGTGATTCTGGAGCCCAGCCTCCATGAGCCCATGTACTATTTTCTCTTCATGCTGTCTACCACTGACCTGGGATTGACCCTCTCCACGATGCCCACGACCCTCGGTGTGCTCTGGTTGAATGTCCGTGAAATCACCCTTGACGCATGTATCATCCAGCTCTTTTTCCTCCACAGCTCCGGCTTTATGGAATCCTCGGTACTGATGGCCATGGCTTTCGACCGCTTTGTGGCTATATGTAGACCCCTCAGATATGCCACCATTCTGACTCACTCCAGAATACTAAAGATTGGTGTAGCAATTGTCCTTAGAATGTTGATCAGCCTCTGTCCATCCCTCTTTCTCATTAAGAGGCTGTCATTTTGTGAAATCAATGTCCTTTCCCATTCTTATTGCTGCCACCCTGATGTGCTTAAGGTTGCATGTTCTGATTCAAGGATGAACAGTTATGGAGGCCTAGCTGTTCTCATTCTGGTCACAGGGGTTGATACACCATGTATTGTCCTCTCCTACATCCTTATCATCCGCTCTGTGCTGAACATTACCTCCTCAGAGGGACGGAGCAAGGCCTTCAGCACTTGCGGCTCCCACATTGGGGCTGTGGTCGTCTTCTATATTCCCTGGGTTGTGCTTTCAGTCGTCCACAGATTTTTCCATATGGCTCCCCCATATGTCCATCCACTATTGTCCAATCTCCATTTCCTTGGCCCCCCTGTGCTGAATCCCATCATATATAGTGTGAAGACTAAACAAATCCGCAGAGCCATCCTCAAGCTCTTCCAAAAAATGTCAAAAAATATTTGATGGGAGCTGCCTTTCCTGCTGATCAAATTGTACTCTGTACTCTGTAATGATTGTTCTCCCTGATCAAATTGTACTCTGTAATGATTTTTCTCCAACACCAATGCATATTTTTCCTCTAACAAAAAACAATAATAGCTTCAGTGATGCTCAATGAGTACCCACTATATTCAAGTTCTTCTTTTGGTTCTTTTAAGTGTATGTTTTCTTTTATGTAGCTTAAATCACATTATTTTTTTTAAATTGGGTAACCATAGTTGTAATTTACAAATGAAGAGATTAAGAAACTAGAATGCAAAAGGACTTATTTAAAATAAGAAATTGGGACTTTGAATCCAGGTCTAATGACTCTGAATCTTGTGTTTTTCTTGGATATCATGCTAATTATAAGTACAAAAGATGCACTTAATGGAAATGTTTCAGGTTATATAGATGTTCAATTCTGTTCCCTGAACACTGAACAGACACATAGAATACTGGGGAATTTTTGAAGAATGAACGCAATAAAGGATCCTATCCTTATTCAATCTTCTTTATTCTTTCTTCTTACTCAGAAGTGTTTTACTGACAGAGATATTTATTTCTGAGTAGAATAGAGTCTAAAGACACATGCCTTGAGCTCAGAATTTTACTGACAGATATTTGGCTACAATAGATTCTAAAGACGCATGCCTTTTCAGGGCTATCTGGTTCTCTTGCTGAAGTAGTGAGATGCTGCTGTATGTACAATTCACACTTAAGTAAAAGAAGAGGCTTCTAAGAGGCAGAGGCTCAGCCACAGCAGCATTTTAATCAGTATTGGCATCACTTGGCCAATCCTAATTTTTTTTCTTTGTGTCCAGGTAGATAATGGTGCAAATGAAAATAATGTTTGCATAAGTATCCAAATGAGCACTAAAGCCCTCAGGTCCCTCATTATTACTTCTTTCAACATTTAGTAGAGTCAAATACAGAAACAGCAATTACAACACATTTGGAATTGTCAAAAGAAGAGTGGAATAAATCCATCATCAACTTTAGATGATGAGCCAGTTTGAGTTCAAGAATTTGAAGGCTTAGGAAGATGAAGGTTGAACTTAGGAACAGCATGATTATTGTCTTAGCATTCTCCACATGATTTCATTCCATAAAATGAATGGACAGAGTACTTTGATGGCTGGAAGAAAGACTATAGAAGGGAACCACAGATATGAGTCCATAGGTTTTGATCATGTCTTTTGTTTTGCAAGACTGCATGATAGAGAATAAGAGCTTGATTCTCCTGTTGTGATTTTTTTTCCCACACTTGTCTATTAGTGGGTCTGTAAAAGTAAAGAACTAATTTAGATTTCTATAAAACCACTACTCACATCAGACATTTGAATAAAATGTCTGACCAAAGAGCAGTAGTTTCTAATTTGAATCAGGAAGATGTGGGGGTGGCGAATATATATCACTGAAGGTGGAGATTGTTAAGGGACTATGTGCCTTTCTGCAAAGTTTTTATTCCAGGTGTTCTTCAGATGTCTTTGTTCATGCATATTTCTGAAAACTCTTCCCTTGCTAGTATTTCATTAGGATGAATTTACAAAAATTCTCATTCTGTAATTATTTCCCTCTGGAAAATGAAATGCTTCTTGGGTGTTTGTTACTATATTATTAAGATAAGGATTCCCAGAAAGTGCTGGTAGCTAATTTCTAACTATATTCAGATTCCTTGATCCAGAAAAGTTATACATGGAAGGTTATCAAAGATTTTTATCAGTATAAAAATTGATTTTGTAATAGGAAGCAACTTTTCTAAAGATAAAAATATCCCTTTCCAAGAAGAGGAATTCACACAGAATATATTTATTTGGTTTAATAAAACATTTATCGAGTATATCTTATATAATAGATAAAGCTTTAAAATTATACTCAATACTTAAGAAGATTACATATATAAGATAAAAATAAACTTATTGTACAGTATATGTAAATAAATTAATTGACTATGTGAATAGATACATACTAAGTATCAAAAATTGGAATTTATATATATCTATAATTAAGAAGCAACTAATTGTCAAGTAACTTTATTATAGATGTTGAGAAAAATCTCAGAATATTGATGATGTTAATGAAGCACAGCAATAGGGTCTCCTTCACCTTGTGATTTAGTTTTTTGACAGTAGAATAGATTTGGAAATGTGCCTCTCAATTCCTTTGTCTTGTTTTAGAAGAAGGGATGCCATCGGTGTTGGGAGGAAAATACAAGTATCAGTAATTATATGAGACCAAATGTGGCCACAGTTCTCTTCTTCAGCATAAGGGTGGTTTAAGAGCAATGGTGAATAGAGAAGGGGCTCAAGTGAGACTGTGGTATGGGTGGTCTCTCCTTGTGCATACCCTTTGGGCACCTCAATGAGTGATCAAGACACATGTTGCTTCTTGCTGTATACTATTAAAGGATGTCTACATGTAGAGATTCACTTTTCTGGATTACCCATGCCAGTTCTGAGATAGAGAAATGGCAGGCTCTGCTCAATAAGAAGTCAAAAGACCTAAACCAAGGTCTCTGATAAAGAGTGATAGGGAAGCTAGCAAAACCAGACAGAACCAAGATAGCCACAAAAAAACCACCTGAGGTTACCCTCAATGCTCATGATACCCTGCTTATAATGTATTAGCACACTAAAAGAAACCCCTTTCAATATCCTGACAGCTGACAAATGCCATGGAAACTCCTATAAGTTACCGTGTGATTTAGTTCCTCAGTTCTGGGAACTCCCAATCCATTTCTTAGAAATTTTGAGAATAATTCTCTTTCTGTATAACATAAAATTAAATAGAAGATGTAAAATAAGAGCCTGTAAACTCACCAAGGGCTACTGTCTGTTGCACTGAGAGATAGCTACTTCTCTTTCTATGGAGCAGCCTTTCTTTTTTTCTTAGCTTACTTCAATAAAGTAAATTTTACCTTACTCTGTTGGCTCAATCTTGAATTCTTTCCTTCCCAAAGCCAAGAACCCACTTGGCCTTCAGGCCGTAACTTTGTCTCAGTACAAACAAGACAGTCTAATAAAAGTAGTGTGATTGTTCCAAGTGAAACAACTAACAAATTGCAGAACTGGCTTTAAGTTTTTCCAATAATCTCTTAGCATGGGCTGATATGTTTAGGGCTATCACAGTGAGATAATTTGTCTTTCTACTTTTACAGGAGTTATCTCATGTAGCTTGACAATTGCTCTTTAATGTCACTATAGGCATGATTCTTTCCAGGTGTTATAACTAAGTTGAGATCACATCTCCATTGCTACATCAATGTATAGTACCTCTAGGGTCCTTACTGTGGGAACTCACTCTCAGGAGCAAATTTCTTTGTAGAATACAGAAGCAACCACAACCAGTATTTCCATTTTTCTTCTTATTCATTGAAACTTAGGGCTTTTCAAAATTGATTAAAAAAGACACATTTAAATATAAGTAACTTATAAATAAATAACTTAGCTTGCTTTAATTAATATAAATAAAAGAGTCAAGATAATATTAGGATAATTTAGAACACGAAGTTATTTCAACACTTTTACTAAGAATAGTGCTATGTCTTTGTTAAATTTTGATAGATAACATTTTCAAAATAGTGTCTGAATGAACAATCATCATAGTTTCATCCAGAAAATTCTTGGATTCTTGCTTTTTGAGGGTTTGTGACGTGAGAATTTACTCAGCTAAAATAATTTTATAAAATTTTCCTTAGATAAGACTCTGTAACAGATTGAGATAAATTTGGTTATTTATCTCTTTGGTCAAGGATTGAGGAAAATCAAATTAGTATTCTACAGCAAGAAATTTTCCCACAAGATCTCTGTACCATGTTTTCCTGGATATGCTTGGTCTTTACCTCAAAGATACTGGTTTCGAATATGTAAGGTACTAGTTGGTAGACACTGGGCAAAGATAGGAGAATCACTCTGAATATCCACTAGCAAAAACAATGGTAGAAGAAGGACGAGAGTGCTGGGATGGGCAGGGGCAGGGGCAGGGGGACACAAATGTGAAAGGGGTGTGTGCTAAATACTTTGGGCTGGGATTCTCCACAAGGTAGCTACAAAGTCACAACATCTGTAGTTGTAATGAAAAATATATCGAATTCACCCACAGAGAAGTCCACATGAGACCACAGATTCAGCCTGATCACTTGCTTACAATAGGTCAAAGATGAGAACCTAGGGGAATACAAAGCAAAAGGGCTCACTCACAGCACACTTTGTATCAGAAGAGCTGTTCTTTCCTTGACTGCCAGTGATTGGAGCCAAATGGCACAATGGCCACCTCTAGTGTCTAGATGGTTTTATCTAGTGACCATCTCTGATCTACACAGCAGAACATATGGAAGAGTCAGACCTTGCATGATTGAGGCAGCCACAGAAGTTGATTTTATGGACTTAGAATCAATAAAATTGATAACAGGTTAGGTAGAAGGAAGAACTCGAAGGGCCCCCTCCTTGACCTGGAAGGTCCAAGAAGAAACACCTGGGCTCATAGAAGAAGTAAGTAGGTCATATAGACCACATCAAAGAAGGGTGATACTTCTCATATAGCCAAAGCATAGCCAAGAAAGAACAGGAAAATAATCTGGCACTGGGAAACATCCCACCCTGGAAAAGCATAAGAAATAGGTATTTGTTATGGTGTGGTTAGGGGACAGTGTTGGCCTCCAGTGGTACCATCAGAGGATGACTCCTGCCCTAACATTTAGGGGAGGAACCTACCCCTGAACAGACTAACCAAATCACAAAGAAATATTATTTCTGAGGAGGTTAGCAATTATAAGAGCCGAATGACTAAAATACTGTGTGACCATGAAACCACTTATCACATGTTAATAATCTTGATTTTTTTTCTAAATTAAACCTAAGGAAATTGGGCTATATCTAATTTCATCTAATGACAGTCTTTAGAAATCACAGGCCCA